TGCGCTCGGGACGGACCCTCTCCAGGATCTGCACCATCTCCACTATCTCCCCTCGCAACTGCACTCACTGATCTCTGTGTCAAACTCTCCAGCAGTGTTAACTGTTTGTATTTGACCATCTTTTGCTTCGCTGTCTTCTCTGTCGCCATGCTGTCTCTCGCTACTCCACTCTCTACCACACCTCCTCTTCCTTCTGCTGCCTTTTGACCCCATCAGTGGGGCAATACTGCACTCTACAGGTGTCAACGGATCATTACACGTAATATATGAAGATATACAGGCTGATTTCTATATCAAAAGGTGCGCCAGAGGTCAATATAGTACCCTGAGTGAAAAAGTGAAAAAGACGTCTAAGACGTCTTTGGGAATAAGCGTTACTAAAAAAATAGAACGTCTTAGACGTCTTTGGCAACCAATGAGTTAAAGGGCCCTAATATGTCAAAAGGTCAGAATCAGAAGGTCCGTGATCCGGTGTAACAGGCCGTTTTAACCCCCCTGGCCGGTTTACACCCCGGGGTTAAAATAGCCTAGGCCAGAATACACCCCGGGGTTTATTCTGGCCTAGGCTATTTTAACCCCCCTTAGGCCATATTAACCCCCCTCTTGTTTTATCTAATAATGATTTTTTCTAAACTTCAAAATTATTTAAAATCATTTAGAAGTAATTTGTTAATTACTCTATAGCCCTAATTAGTGTGATTGCTTTTCATACTTTGTTTTATTAAGATTGAGAGATCCTTTATTTCAATTTGGAGAGACGAGAAAACAAGAAGCTTTTGAGTATTTTATTGGGAGGAGGTTTGGCGCCCTAGGCCCCGGTGCGGCCTTCAGATCGGAGGGGCTCCTGCGATGGAGCGTGCCAATCCCCCGGGACCTAGGCACTGGTGGCGGCATTTGGCAGCGGGAAGCAGATTGAAGGCAGATTGAAGGCAGGGTGAAGAGGAGGAGGAGGGGAGGCGGTGGTTGCAGGCTTCGAGAGGCCGAGTGTGGGAGTTTCTCCGCTTTTAAGCGGCTTGCCTGGCTGGACCGGTGATTGGAAGGGGGCGTTTGCTGTGCGATAGGCTGGGGATGTGAACCGGCCTGGAGGGGGTAACTTTGGCTGACGTCTACCAAATTGAATTTCCGCGGGCTGCATTTGTCCCACAGTGGGGAAATTTCAGTGTTGCATCACAGGTTATAGGACAGTAGGAGAGAGGAGCACACAGCACACGTTAAGTGAAAAATAGCTATACTAAACAATATAAAAATAATCTAACTCTAGCATCAATAATAAGTATAAAAACTCTATTTTGAAAATATAATAGATGTAAAAATTTAAAATTGACAAAATAAGAGGCAAGTATAAAGTACTGTGTAATCTAGTGCAAGCAAAGTGTAGTTATATGTTAGCATTTGTACATTAGCAGCAGTATGTTTACATCTGTACATTAGCAGCAGTATGTTTACAACTGTATATTGGCAGCTGTGCACATTCTAGTATAAGGTAAGGATATTGCAACGATGCGAGAATGACACTGGAATCAAGTTGGCAGTGTTCATTAGTCCTTATTGTTTGTTGTACAGTCTGACAGCAGCAGGAAGGAAAGACCTGCAGAACCTCTCCTTCACACATCGAGGGTGAATGAGTCTGTCACTGAAGCTGCTCTCCAGAGCAGAGTGTCCTGCAGGGGGTGACAGACATGGTCCAGCATAGATGTTAGTTTGCTCAGGACCCTCCTTTCCCCCACCTGCTGCACTGTGTCCAGGGAACAGCCCAGGACAGAGCTGGACTTTCTGATGTTCCAGCTTCTTCCTGTCCCTCTCTGTGATGCTGCTGTTCCAGCAGACCACACCGTACAAGAGGCTGATGCCACCACAGAGTCATAGAATGTCTTCAGGAGTGGCCCCTGCACTCCAAAAGACCTAAGCATCCTCAGTAGGTAGAGGCAGCTCTGGCCCTTCTTGAAGAGGGCGTCTGTGTTATGAGTCCAGTCCAGTTTGTGGTTCAGATGAACACCCAGGTACTTGTAAGAGTCCACTCTCTCAATGTCCTTTCCCTGGATGTTCACTGGAGCTGGAGCGGCAGAGTGACGTCTGCGGAAATCCACCACCATCTCCTTAGTCTTCCAAGGTTCCGCTGACACCAGTCCACAAAGTCTTGTATTACTCCTCTGTACTCTGCGTCATCGTTCTCAGAGCTGAGTCCGATGATGGCAGAGTCGTCAGAGAACTTCTGTAGAACACAACCGTGTTGTGAGGTGATGAGTCAATGTATCTACAAACTTCTCACATGAAACTCTTAGAACTTTTGAGTAGATATTAATTATGGGCAAATGACACCAATGCTCCGGAGCTTGTGTCACTCTTTCCGAAGCAAATTGCTTCAAAACACTGCGTTGGAGCATGTATCAAAACAACCGGTCACGTGACAAACGTGTCAGTGTCTCGGACTCTGCAGCCGCTGCTTCACTGCTTCACTGCTTCACTGCTTCACTGCACATATCAACAGTGTGGGTGTCGTAGAGTGTCTTTGGCTCAATGTGTTTCCTGACTTCTCATTTGATCATCTCGCTTCCTTGGTATGTCTGCTGATACCATATAGCTAAAGCACTTGGCTTGAAAGTTAAGAAGCCTGTCTATTTTGGCAGGGTCCAGGAACTTGCAGCACCAAAGCGACTACACAAGACCCGTGGTGATGGAAACTGCTATTTCCGTGCTTTGAGTTATATATTCACAGGATCTGAGGAATATCACCTCTCTCCGTGATAGTGTGGTTCAACATATGAACATCAGCATTAAAGACAAACTTTCCTGTTACCTCAATCAGTCAATAAATGACTACATGACATCTACTGCTATGGATAAGTGTGGTGTGCGGGCAACAGATGCAGAAATAATGGCCACAGCTTCCCTCATAGGCAATGATGTAATAGTGTATACAAAGCATGGGGAAAGTATGCAGTGGCTGATATATCCAGCATCTTTCAATCTACAGGAGACATCAGAATCTGCCATATACTTTAAGAAGAATTCCGAGCACTTTAGTGCTGTGATTGGTGTCGAGCTATGAGACTGTATGGTGTAGTAACTGCAAAGTACAGTACGAGAGTATTGGAAGTGTTATAGTTTTATCATTGTTACAGTTTTACCATTGTTTTAGTTTTATCATTGTTATAGTTTTATATAGAATATCACCACCATATCTTTTCCTAAATGTATTTAGTAAGAAATAAAGAAATACAAAAAATATTGCTTGTATTTTATTGTTATCATACAAAATGAAAGGGGGGGTTAATCTGGCCTAAGGGGGGTTAAAATAGCCTAGGCCAGTTTATACCCCGGGGTGTATTCTGGCCTAGGCTATTTTAACCCCGGGGTGTAATCTGGCCTAGGCTACTTTAACCCCGGGTGTATTCTGGCGGGGGGTTAAACTGGCCTGCTACACCGGGTTTCCAGATCTCACCGCGTGAAGCTAATCTCACTGGTAAGTGTGGCCACATGTAGAACTAAAAAAGGTCTTGTTATGATTCTCAAATCATTAACGACAAAATAAGGCATACAAAAAAAAATTCTAGCGGGGACTTAGAGAAAAATGTGTTGGTAAGTGTTCAAATTAATTTATTCCTGTAACAGTAGTGATATCTGAGGACTTTACAAAGCTGATTGATTTGTCAACACAGATCAGAGAATCAAACATTGAGTTATTGTTCCATAAATGTTGTTGAATGTGGTCTGGATCATCACCACTGTCTTTAGACCCTCCTTCATCTTTTTAAAACCAGAGGGAGAAAAGTGAGAAACCAGGACTGAGGCTGTAGACCCAGGACTGAGGCTCTAGATCCAGGACTGAGGCTGTAGACCCAGGACTGAGGCTGTAGACCCAGGACTGAGGCTCTAGATCCAGGACTGAGGCTGTAGACCCAGGACTGAGGCTCTAGATCCAGGACTGATGCTGTAGATCCAGGACTGAGGCTGTAGATCCAGGACTGAGGCTGTAGATCCAGGACTGAGGCTCTAGATCCAGGACTGAGGCTGTAAATCCAGGTTTGAGGCTGTCGATCCAGGACTGAGGCTGTAGACCCAGGACTGAGGCTGTAGATCCAAGACTGAGGCTGTCGATCCAGAACTGAGGCTGTAGATCCAAGACTGAGGCTGTAGATCCAGGTCTGAGGCTGTAGACCCAGGACTGAGGCTGTAGATCCAAGACTGAGGCTGTCGATCCAGAACTGAGGCTGTAGATCCAAGACTGAGGTTGTAGATCCAGGTCTGAGGCTGTAGATCCAGGACTGAGGCTGTAGATCCAGGACTGAGGCTGTAGATCCAGGACTGAGGCTGTAGACCCAGGACTGAGGCTGTAGATCCAAGACTGAGGCTGTAGATCCAAGACTGAGGCTGTAGATCCAAGACTGAGGCTGTAGATCCAAGACTGAGGCTGTAGATCCAGGACTGAGGCTGTAGACCCAGGACTGAGGCTGTAGACCCAGGACTGAGGCTGTAGACCCAGGACTGAGGCTGTAGACCCAGGACTGAGGCTGTAGACCCAGGACTGAGGCTGTAGATCCAGGACTGAGGCTATAGATCCAGGACTGAGGCTGTAGATCCAGGCTGTATCAATCCAGGCCCACTGCTGCTACTTTCACAAACCTCACAAACATAATGGGACTTGCACTCTGCGATATGCACGGCTAAACGGCTCTAGTCAGAGAATCTCAGAGCTTATAAAAAGATAAAAGCAGAGGGGAGGGATCCGGCCCGTCCTACATCAAAGTAAAACACGTACGCTCAGATTACTCGCGACTGGCAGCGTCGTACCAGTTTCCCTTCGCAGAAACGGCGGTTCGGATTAGGAAATAGAGCAAAACGAAAACATTATCAGCGAACGCGACACCTGCATCTATCCAGCCACTTATCTGTCGACGGGAAACAGTCCAAATCCTGCGTGATCGAGGAGGAAACGCGGTGAAAGATTCTGGCTCGCATTTGTCAGCCGCCGACCCGTTTGACGCGCTCTGCTCTTGTGGATGACTTTCATTACGAGACGTTTGGAGAGTCCCAGGCCAGATGGTGATGTCACACACACATCAGACTGTATTAGCGCTGCTCAAAATGCCCAGAAAGACATGCTAGCAATGCTCGGGCGGAAAAAAAATCTATAAAAAAGTTCATATTTGTGAAAGTTGGTCGATTTGGATCAATGGCTTCTATGTGTTTGTTATTATTGCATTTTCGGTTTTTCGAGCTGTTTTTCTAATCTGTTGTTGGTGAATCAACAACTTTGTAGCGTCCTTAGAGACGACTGCTGTTGTGATTTATGACAATACACGAATAACTTGAGTTATTATTATCTCCTATACACACTCTCCATCAAATGATTATAGATTTTTTTTGGTTCCCTCAATTTTTTTTGTATTTTGAGCAATATCCACACTTAAGATTAAATATAAAACTGTTCTTAAGCTGGATTTGAACATCGTCACAGAAGCCTGTCTCACATTTTCAGGAAGACTGTTCCAGATTTTAACTGCATGAATCTGAAATGCTGCCTCTTCATGATAAGGCCTGACTCTATGGCACCAGCAGGAGGCCCAGTCCCTGTGCTCCCCAGAGTCCCAGAGATGGTGCGAGGCCATGGAGAGACTTGTAAAAAGAAGCTGTTTTAAAGTCTATTCTCTGAGACTAAAATAGAATAAATTCAGACCAGTTTGAGTTCAGGAAAAGTCTCAAAAAACCCCAGCTGTGTGAGAGTGGACAGCTGTGTGAGAGTGGACGGCTGTGTGAGAGTGGACGGCTGTGTGAGAGTGGACAGCTGTGTGAGAGTGGACAGCTGTGTGAGAGTGGACGGCTGTGTGAGAGTGGACAGCTGTGTGAGAGTGGACAGCTGTGTGAGAGTGGACGGCTGTGTGAGAGTGGACAGCTGTGTGAGAGTGGACAGCTGTGTGAGTGGACGGCTGTGTGAGAGTGGACGGCTGTGTGAGAGTGGACAGCTGTGTGAGAGTGGACGGCTGTGTGAGAGTGGACAGCTGTGTGAGAGTGGACAGCTGTGTGAGAGTGGACAGCTGTGTGAGAGTGGACGGCTGTGTGAGAGTGGACAGCTGTGTGAGAGTGGACGGCTGTGTGAGAGTGGACAGCTGTGTGAGAGTGGACGGCTGTGTGAGAGTGGACAGCTGTGTGAGAGTGGACAGCTGTGTGAGTGGACGGCTGTGTGAGAGTGGACAGCTGTGTGAGTGGACAGCTGTGTGAGAGTGGACAGCTGTGTGAGAGTGGACGGCTGTGTGAGAGTGGACGGCTGTGTGAGAGTGGACGGCTGTGTGAGAGTGGACGGCTGTGTGAGAGTGGACAGCTGTGTGAGAGTGGACGGCTGTGTGAGAGTGGACGGCTGTGTGAGAGTGGACGGCTGTGTGAGAGTGGACGGCTGTGTGAGAGTGGACAGCTGTGTGAGAGTGGACAGCTGTGTGAGAGTGGACGGCTGTGTGAGAGTGGACAGCTGTGTGAGAGTGGACAGCTGTGTGAGAGTGGACGGCTGTGTGAGAGTGGACGGCTGTGTGAGAGTGGACAGCTGTGTGAGAGTGGACGGCTGTGTGAGAGTGGACAGCTGTGTGAGTGGACGGCTGTGTGAGAGTGGACAGCTGTGTGAGAGTGGACAGCTGTGTGAGAGTGGACGGCTGTGTGAGAGTGGACGGCTGTGTGAGAGTGGACGGCTGTGTGAGAGTGGACAGCTGTGTGAGAGTGGACAGCTGTGTGAGAGTGGACGCTGTGTGAGAGTGGACGGCTGTGTGAGAGTGGACGGCTGTGTGAGAGTGGACGGCTGTGTGAGAGTGGACAGCTGTGTGAGAGTGGACGGCTGTGTGAGAGTGGACAGCTGTGTGAGAGTGGACAGCTGTGTGAGAGTGGACGGCTGTGTGAGAGTGGACAGCTGTGTGAGTGGACGCTGTGTGAGAGTGGACAGCTGTGTGAGAGTGGACAGCTGTGTGAGAGTGGACGGCTGTGTGAGAGTGGACGGCTGTGTGAGAGTGGACGGCTGTGTGAGAGTGGACGGCTGTGTGAGAGTGGACGGCTGTGTGAGAGTGGACGGCTGTGTGAGAGTGGACGGCTGTGTGAGAGTGGACGGCTGTGTGAGAGTGGACGGCTGTGTGAGAGTGGACAGCTGTGTGAGAGTGGACAGCTGTGTGAGAGTGGACGGCTGTGTGAGAGTGGACGGCTGTGTGAGAGTGGACAGCTGTGTGAGAGTGGACGGCTGTGTGAGAGTGGACGGCTGTGTGAGAGTGGACGGCTGTGTGAGAGTGGACGGCTGTGTGAGAGTGGACGGCTGTGTGAGAGTGGACGGCTGTGTGAGAGTGGACAGCTGTGTGAGAGAGGACAGCTGTGTGAGAGTGGACGGCTGTGTGAGAGTGGACGGCTGTGTGAGAGTGGACAGCTGTGTGAGAGTGGACAGCTGTGTGAGAGTGGACAGCTGTGTGAGAGTGGACGGCTGTGTGAGAGTGGACAGCTGTGTGAGAGTGGACAGCTGTGTGAGAGTGGACGGCTGTGTGAGAGTGGACGGCTGTGTGAGAGTGGACAGCTGTGTGAGAGAGGACAGCTGTGTGAGAGTGGACGGCTGTGTGAGAGTGGACAGCTGTGTGAGAGTGGACAGCTGTGTGAGAGTGGACGGCTGTGTGAGAGTGGACGGCTGTGTGAGAGTGGACGGCTGTGTGAGCGTGGACAGCTGTGTGAGAGTGGACAGCTGTGTGAGAGTGGACAGCTGTGTGAGAGTGGACAGCTGTGTGATGCATGTGGTGAAATGTGGCGTCCTTTCCCCCACGTGGGCCCATGCCTTAAAACAACCTGATACAAATTTGGGGGGAAAAAGAAGCAGAAGTGTTTTTACAAAATATACCAATTACAGAAGTATTGATGATTCCAGATGTGTTTACACCGTCTTCACTGAGCGTCCAAAACAGAGCCTCAACACATTTATCGTTGGCCCAGGATTAGATTAACTCTGGCCTCTGCCGCTGCTTTCTCTGCTCTCTCTTCCTCTCTCTGCCTCTCTCTACCTCTCTCTACCTCTCTCTGCCTCTCTCTGCCTCTCTCTACCTCTCTCTACCTCTCTCTACCTCTCTCTACCTCTCTCTACCTCTCTCTACCTCTCTCTGCCTCTCTCTGCCTCTCTCTACCTCTCTCTACCTCTCTCTGCCTCTCTCTGCCTCTCTCTACCTCTCTCTGCCTCTCTCTACCTCTCTCTACCTCTCTCTACCTCTCTCTACCTCTCTCTACCTCTCTCTGCCTCTCTCTGCCTCTCTCTACCTCTCTCTACCTCTCTCTGCCTCTCTCTGCCTCTCTCTACCTCTCTCTACCTCTCTCTGCCTCTCTCTACCTCTCTCTGCCTCTCTCTACCTCTCTCTGCCTCTCTCTACCTCTCTCTACCTCTCTCTACCTCTCTCTACCTCTCTCTACCTCTCTCTACCTCTCTCTACCTCTCTCTGCCTCTCTCTGCCTCTCTCTACCTCTCTCTACCTCTCTCTGCCTCTCTCTACCTCTCTCTGCCTCTCTCTACCTCTCTCTGCCTCTCTCTACCTCTCTCTGCCTCTCTCTACCTCTCTCTACCTCTCTCTACCTCTCTCTACCTCTCTCTGCCTCTCTCTGCCTCTCTCTACCTCTCTCTGCCTCTCTCTGCCTCTCTGTGCCTCTCTCTACCTCTCTCTGCCTTACTCTTCCTCTCTCTGCCTCTCTCTGCCTCTCTCTATCTCTCTCTGCCTCTCTCTACCTCTCTCGGCTCATACCTCACTCTGCCACTCTCTGCTCTCTCTGCCTCACTTTACCTCTCTCTGCCTCTCTCTGCCTCTCTCTACCTCTCTCTACCTCTCTCTACCTCTCTCTGCCTCTCTCTGCCTCTCTCTACCTCTCTCTACCTCTCTCTGCCTCTCTCTGCCTCTCTCTACCTCTCTCTACCTCTCTCTACCTCTCTCTACCTCTCTCTCCTCTCTCTACCTCTCTCTACCTCTCTCTACCTCTCTCTGCCTCTCTCTACCTCTCTCTGCCTCTCTCTACCTCTCTCTACCTCTCTCTACCTCTCTCTACCTCTCTCTACCTCTCTCTACCTCTCTCTGCCTCTCTCTGCCTCTCTCTACCTCTCTCTGCCTCTCTCTGCCTCTCTCTGCCTCTCTCTACCTCTCTCTACCTCTCTCTACCTCTCTCTACCTCTCTCTACCTCTCTCTGCCTCTCTCTACCTCTCTCTGCCTCTCTCTGCCTCTCTCTGCCTTACTCTTCCTCTCTCTGCCTCTCTCTATCTCTCTCTGCCTCTCTCTACCTCTCTCGGCTCATACCTCACTCTGCCACTCTCTGCTCTCTCTGCCTCACTTTACCTCTCTCTGCCTCTCTCTGCTCATACCTCGCTCTGCTGATCTCTCTGCCTATCTCTCCCTCACTTTGCCTCTCTCTGTTCATACCTCTCTCTGCCTCTCTCTACCTCTCTCTACCTCTCTCTACCTCTCTCTACCTCTCTCTGCCTCTCTCTACCTCTCTCTGCCTCTCTCTGCCTCTCTCTGCCTCTCTCTACCTCTCTCTACCTCTCTCTACCTCTCCCTACCTCTCTCTATCTCTCTCTGCCTCTCTCTACCTCTCTCGGCTCATACCTCACTCTGCCACTCTCTGCTCTCTCTGCCTCACTTTACCTCTCTCTGCCTCTCTCTGCCTCTCTCTGCTCATACCTCGCTCTGCTGATCTCTCTGCCTATCTCTCCCTCACTTTGCCTCTCTCTGTTCATACCTCTCTCTGCTCTCTCTCTCACTGACTCACTCTGCTCTCTCTCACTGCCTCACTCTGCTTTATCTATCATTGCCTTACTCTGCTCTCTCTCTCTGCCTCACTCTAGCTCTTTCTACCTCTCTCTGAGCTGCTCTCTCTCTGCTTGTACCAGAACAGGACAAAGCCAATGTGGACTATACTACACTTTAAATTCAGTTTCAATTCAGTTCAATTCATTTTTGCATAGCCCTAAATTACAACAGTAGTTATGTATTTCATTGTGACGTGTACAACAGGTCTGGCATGCACGTTCTACACTGTCGACCTCGCACCTTTCTTCCTCTGTGGAGTGATGGACAAATGCCAACAATTGTAAAGCGCTTTGTGACTCTGGTCTGTGAAAGGCGCTATAAAGATAAAGATTATTACTTATATAACAACTTACAGAGCATTAAGGATATAAAAACCTTGGGGGTAGAAAATTGTGAAAAAACCCACATGCGCATGCGTTTGTTGGCACTAGCTCCCTTCATTCAACAAGTGCATTCAAAAGTCCACAGTGGCTAAACTGTGGTCCAACTGGTCCAAAAAGAAAGAAAAACAAATATTCAAGTGCCTTTTGGACCATCCTGTAGAGACGTTTTTGAGAGGAAAGACGACGGCGTACAAAAGCATTGGGTAATTCTATTTCCGGGTACACCCCCACCGCCCTGGACGGAGATTGCAAGTGTATCAATATAATTTAATGTCAGAATATAATTTCAAACCATTCACTTGGTTTGACAAATACAAAATCTTGAAATAAAAATCTTGAAATCAGTGCACATACTCATGAGCTTTTCGGAGCCGGGACTCGCCCCCACTGGATTTTACCCATTCCACATCCTTACGGTGTGGTACACAAGATAATGATCATAATAATAATGATATACAACAAAAATCTTGTTATTTCAGTTCATAAGACCGAGTTAGAGCCAGAAACTTGCCTACTCTAAAATCTGGGAGTTATCAATAAATTAACATGTTTTGGATGTGTTCCGCTGAAGGTTGTAGAGTCTCTGATAAATAAAAAGATAAACTCACGATGGCACAATTATGTTTTATTCACTGTTGCCTTTTTCTCCACAAATCTATAAGAGCAGCTTGGCGCACCTGTGGCCAGCGGCGATGGACGAAGCGCAATCCAAGGCGAGTGGTTGCGTCAGGATCTGGGCTCAGTATTGTGTATGGTATTGCAGGATAAGACCGTGCGCTGCAAGGTCAATATCAGAACAACTCTCAGGTGACTCTCGTAAACTCACAAGATACACATTTATATTAAAATAGTTTGAAATGTCGGCACGCACACTGCCCAAACGCAACACGTAACCACAATTGTAACCACCATTCACACACTGTAAGGTTGTGGAATGGGTCAAATCCAGTGGGGGCGGGTCCCGGTCCCGGCTCCGAAAAGTCCATGAGCATGTGCGCTGATACACTTGCAATCTCGGTCCAGGCCGGTGGGGGTGTACCCGGAGAGAGAATTACCCAATGCTTTTGTATGGCGTCTTCTTTCCTCTCGAAAATGTCTTTACAGGATGATCCAAAAAGCACTTGAGTTGTTTTATTTTTTTTGGATCAGTCTAGTTTAGCCGCTGTTGACTTTTGAATGCACTTGTTAAATGAAGGGAGCTAGTGCCGGCTAACGCATGCGCAAATGTTTTTTTTTTATTTCCTACCCCCGAGGCCATTTCGAAACTGCCCACAGAAAACAAAAATGGTGGCACATTAGTTTCAATGGCGGAGATATAGGCGTCACTAAATTCATTAATATTTATGGTCTATGTTAAATTCTTCAAACTGGGCAGCACGGTGATTGAGTGGATAGCTCTTTTGCTTCACAGAAAGAAGGTCCTGGGTTCAAATCTCGGTCGGAGGAGGGCTTTTCTGAGTGGAGTTTGCATGTCCTCTTAGGTTTCCTCCTGGTCCTCCGATTTCACCCACCACTAAAAACATTTATTATATGTCTAGCAAGCACCTCATGTACTGAGACAAATACCCACAATTGTATAGGTCTTTGTGACTGGTCTGTGAAAGGCGCTTTATGAATAATGATTTACTTAATACTTACTTGAAAATTAATTGAGGGATGTACAGAGATTTGTGCTCCCTATGTCCTCTTCCTACTGCCCTGAATGTGCGCTGCAACATTGACATTTCCCCAAAGTACCTACACACTTTAGAAACCAGTATGTATGTTGTGCGATTGCGTATTTTTTGTAAATAAAGATAATTTATTTGAAGTAAACAATTCACTTCTGTATTTAAGATTTTAAAATATGCGGTTGCAGCCAAAGAAGTGCTAATTAGAACACAATTTATGTTTAATGATATCTATCATAGGGTTATAATATTCAGTATCCAACTAACTACTAACTACTAGCTGACACTTTCCCATGTGGGTTTGGGTTAGTAAGAGGGTTAGGGTTAATTAATACTTACTTAATCAGCTGTTAATTAGCGAGGGATATTCGTAAGTGTTCTCAAATATTGTAATTTGCAACTTAACAAAATAACATATAAACAAGCCCATGTTTGAAAACACTTTGCCGTAATGAGATAGCACCCAATCTTTCCTCAGCCAAGAGTTATGTAAGAAGTGCGACGCGGCTCACTTTTCAGCCATATTAAGAATTCTGTTTCCAATCTCCCCACAGCGCTTGGATGTGTGTGTGTCTGTGTGCGTCTGTGTGTGTTTTAAAGGCATCGCAATCAACAAAGCTGACCTTAAACTCAAGATAAAACAACATATTGGTTATAAAATGCCTCGTAAGTCAATTTATTCTTCAGGTAATGACCCGAGTGTGTCTGAAAACCTGGCAGTAATGATGAAGGAGGGCGGCCATCTTGGTCTTTCTCCCTTCTCCCCGTCTTAATGAGTGAAATCGAGAGCAAAGATGAATCGACTTTTTGTTGTGGTCGCACTGCTCGCCGGGTTATGATTATCCATTCATTATCCGTTTGATTATCATAACAGTGTGTGGAAATACAAAGCGGAAAGGTTCTTCACAAGGTATGAATAAAAGAAAGAAAGAAAGATATAGGGGCAAAGCACAAGAAAATGTGGGAAAAATTACTCTTTTGCGAGGCGACCTTGAACATCTTGATTTTCATAACATGAGACACACAATCGTGGGACCAGGAGAGCAAAAAAAACCAGCAAAACTTAAAACCAAAACTCATTATGAAAAGCGTGTTTAATGTATTAGGTTATTGGTAGATTGTGGAAAGACCAGACTCGTGTCCATGTGATTACCATTGAATTTAATTTGGAATAACATACTGTATTTTAGAGTAAGATCAAGCTGTTAAAAATACCTGGTGAGATCTACTTCCTCATTTGCACTCAGGCATCTACAATTCACTACTACTTTTTGCTTCGGTGCCCCGGAGGACTGGAACAAACTCCCAGCTTTGATATAATTTCCTCACATGCCAAAGTAAAAACCGCCTTAGTTACTGTTCATACCCTCAGTTGCCATGCGGTTGCTATAAGTAGCTTTCAAAAATAAAACACATACCTGCATATATAAATCAAAGTAATGAAGCTGAAGGCCAAATTCAGACTGAAAGACCGGCCACGGCTCTCACCCGTCCAGGGCCTGCCAATCACACAGCTCTGCCAGCCTCAGCCAATCACACAGCTCTGCCAGCCTCGAGCCTCAGCCAATCACACAGCTCTGCCAGCCTCGAGCCTCAGCTAATCACACAGCTCTGCCAGCCTCGAGCCTCAGCCAATCACAGCTCTGCCAGCCTCGAGCCTCAGCCAATCACACAGCTCTGCCAGCCTCGAGCCTCAGCCAATCACAGCTAGGCCAGCCCCCCCTGCCAACCACTGAAAGCAAAGCGGGCAGTTTAAAAGCAGCCACATCCTACCAACCAGCCCTTCCTGAAGCTCTTGACACCCACCGCCTCCCCAGCGCCTCCTCAAGCTCCTGGCTCCTGCTCTGGCTCCTGCTCTGGCTCCTGCCCTGGCTCCTGCTCCTCCTACGCCCCATTCACACCATAATCTAGCCACCACCAGTGCTTGACCCCGGGGGATCTGATGAGCAGCAGATGATCTCCCCTCTGCAAGTGTCACTGCAGGGGTCAATGTGCCATTCAAATAAATCTTTTTCATGCATTAATGTTTCTGTCTTGGTCTCTTCAGATTGAAATAACTGTACCTAAAGTCACTGTACGAGGGGATGGGGACAAGGTTTTGAGATGGGCATGGTTTGTTTTTCGGTCTGATTTTCTGTTTTTATCTACTGTGTGTGCAGATTGTCTGTTTCTGTAGCCGTGTGTGTAATTTTTATTTGGCAGAATGATGAGGACCCCCTTGAGAGAGAGAGGATTAGTCTCGAGGGGCAATCCATAATAAATAAAAACAGTTAAAAACAAGAATATTTTTGAAAAGCAGAGGGAAACCAGGAAATATACGATGTTATTTTAGTGCTTGTGTAACCCACAGCCTGTAAATATTAACGGACGCAGTTACGCCACCACTTTTGCCTTCTGTGGCTTTTTCAAAATGGCTGCGGGGGCAGGAAAATGTAGAAAAACCAATTTGCGCACGCATTTGCCGGCACGATTTCCATTCATTTAAAGACCTTATGCCGGGTTTGATTTATTTACAAATACAGTTTTAATACCATTTTATATTAGAAGAGAACTACTAAAGGTTTCAAAATCAGTTGTTGTTTTTTTTTGTCTGATCCCCCCAAATCGAAATAACCCCATAGCAACGCCCTTAGAGACAAAAAAACTTCACAGCCCTTGGTGACGTCAGAACGGGTACGTTTCAACGCTGTAAGTTGTTTACAATTTGGTATTCCTTCTTTTTTCGCGGATTGTAATACGTCGTTGTATTGTAATCTTTATTTATTGTAATCTTTATTTATATACCGCCTTTTCACTGCACATCGGAGTCTCAAAGCGGTTTACAATTGTTATTTTTGGGAGCAGGGGTGCCAGTACAGGAGGCACATGCCAGACCTATTGTACATATTTTTAGTGGTAGGGGAAACCGGAGCACCCGGAGGAAACCTACGCAGACACGGGGAGAACATGCAAACTCCACTCAGAAAGGCCCTGGTCCAACCGGGATTCGAACCCAGGACCTTCTTGCTGAGAGGCAAGAGTGCTATCCACTCAGCCACCGTGCCACCCGTTGTCACTGAGATAGTCCAGTGGTTGTGTCGATGCACAATTCAGAGACTGGGGTTCAAATCCCACCTCAGACACTTTTTCACTCTTAATACGGCAATTTATGTGTAGTGAGCAATTGTCACCTGTAGAGGGCAGTATTGTGTTGGGCATCAGTGGAGAGAAGAGAGAAAAGGCAGTCCTGTGGCATAGATCCATGGTTTTCAATGCATGGGCGTTACCCGCTGTGACGTCACACACAGGTTAGAGCATAGACAACTTAAATTCATTTTATAAAATATAGGATTTTTTTTTGCCGGAATCTATTTCAGATTGACATTGTCATGCAATTTTGATATCCACAATTAAAAAAAAAAAAAAACCCGGCATAAGGTCTTTAAGACTGGTCCAAAAACCAAACCCCCCTCAGCATTCACAGCATCTGGGACGTAGCTTTGGACCAAGAGCCACTTTCGAACCATCCTGTATAACTGTTTTGGAGAGGAAAGACGACGCCATACAAAAGCATTGGGTAATTCTCTTTCCAGGTACACCCCCACCACCAGGAGTGAGATTGCAGCAATGGTGTAAGCTGATAGCTAATGTCCATCTGTACATCACACAATCCACATGTACCACCTCCAAACTGTCCAAAACGTCATCTGTGGGTCCTCCCGTCGAGTATTTGGCTGGGGTTGTGTCAGTGACAGTGACGTGGACTTTGGAACGGACCGAGTGACTGGACGTGTGACTCATGTCCCCGCAGGCGCTCCCTGTTGGCCTCTGCTGGAACTGCGTGTGACAAACCGCTTCCAAGTTTGGGTCAAAAAAAACAAGAAATGCAGCTCCACTGCAAAAAATGATCAAATATGAGATCATAATTGCTAGAATCGATTTTTTTTTAACTTGACTTAAGTACATTCTGACTGTCTTAAAATGAGATTTGCCAATGAGACAAACAATTTTGACTTGATTCAAGAACTATTGCTTTATTTTCTCATTCCAAGAGAAAAATATCTTGTATCTTTTTAAAACAAGACAATTTATCTTGTTCCATTGGCAAATCTTGTTTTAAGACAGTAAAAATGTGCTCAAATTTAGATACATTTAGCCAAATTTGAGCATTTTTTTGTCTTAATTCTGTCATCTTTTGCAGTGCAGGGACATGACTGGTCAAGTCGAAAATGTAGGACAGATTTCTGCAAAGTCACGCAGTCTTAGTTCCTTTTTATTCTGTAATGCCAACTATACACTGCAAAAAGGGATCAAAAATGTTTGAAAATAAATTGTTGAATCAAGGTTTTTTTTTTTTCTTAACGTCATTTGAGTTCATTCTGATTGTGTGTAAACCAGATTTTCCAATGGGACCAAGCCATTCAGTCTCATTTCAAGAACTGTTGCTCTATTTTTCAGAGAGAGACCAAAGAGAGACCAGAGACAGACCAGAGAGAGAGAGAGACCATAGAGACAGATCCCAGATAGACCACAGAGAGACCACAGAGAGAGAACAGAGATAGACTAGAAAGAGACCAGTGAGAGAGACTAGAGAGAGACCAGAAAGTAGACCAGTAAGAGAGACCAGAGAGAGAGACTAGAGAGAGACCACAGACAGACACCAGAGATAGACCAGAAAGTAGACTAGTAAGAGAGACCAGAGAGAGAGACTAGAGAGAGACCACAGACAGAGACCAGAGATAGACTAGAAAGGGACAAGTGAGAGAGAGATAGACAAGGGAGAGACCACAGAGAGAGACCACTGATAGACCAGAAAGTAGACCAGTGAGAGAGACTAGAGATAGACTAGAGAGAGACCACAGAGAGAGAGCAGAGATAGACCAGTAAGAGAGACCAGTGAGAGAGACCACAGAGAAAGAACAGAGATAGACTAGAAAGAGACCAGTGAGAGAGACTAGAGAGAGACCAGAAAGTAGACTAGTAAGAGAGACCAATGAGAGAGACCAGAGATACATTTATTTCAAGATTATTATTTTTGTTCTCATTCCATTCATCCTTTTGCTCCGTCCCGTTGGCAAATCTTGTTTTAAGGCAGACAAAATGCGCTCATTCGCGTTGAGAATTAGTTCCATTTGGAGCAATTGTTATTTTTCCTCACTTTTCGCAGGAACCCAGGAACGCCGCTATAAATTATTCAGAAATCACTAGAGTAATAGATTTCCCCCCCCCCCCCTCAATCAATGTTGCAAGGACACTTAATTTACTATGGGACTAATGCTGGCTGGTGCGATTGAAAACCCCCAAACACATTTTCAAATTATCATTACAGAGTCCGAGACATCTGGACGTAGTAGATTAGCGGGTCTTCAATCCGAGAGGTGCTGACCAAACCGCCCAATCGCCATATCGGCACAAAGTGGCTGTCACCGCGGTATGATTTTCTCTCTGCTAAACCCCCGAAAAAGGTACGGCCTCTTTCTGAAGCCGTGTGTGTGTGTGTGTGTGTGTGTGTGTGTGTGTCTGTGTGTGTGTGAACTCGTAAACTCTATGCACCACGTGTCATTTGAAGTCTGCGTGACTCATTCTGTATTTGCAGAGTCAAAAGAGGGTCAGGAACGAGTCCGACGCCTGCAGGAGCCGAGACGTGCTCTGTGGAGAATGTTGCCGTTGGATTGCAGCGTGTCGACTAAAGGAGAAATACAAGATACTATAGAACTACTGTCAACACACTGCAGAAAATATCAAAAAATAAGGTAGTACATGCTTGAATCAAGGGTTTTTATCTTAATTTGAG